ATTTCTGCACTGAGCAGGAGGTTGGACTTGATGACCTTATAGGCCTCTTCCTATAATTTCCTATTATTCCATGATAGGATGCTCTCTTACATCAGACACCATCGGTTCATCTAGCTCGCTTTATCAGTGATTAGACTCTGGAGACTTACCAGTGCCTTCTCCATGATTCATGTGCCACCTTTAAAGCTCCTTGTCCAGTTTGCCCATGCGTGCAGCCCTTTCAGGCTACAATGAGTGGGTTAAGTCAAGAATATGAAGAGGGCCTCCTCTATCGTGGCTCCCAGATGGTGGGAATGCTCTCCCTTGAGAAGACGACATTGGCCACCTCCATAATAATACCATACAGTTGCAAATTGGTTGTGAAGACAGAGGTACTGGCTGTGAATACAGATCACCACTGTAATCCCCACCTAGAATGCTTTTGTATTCACTGCGAATGCAAAAATCTTCTTGGTGGGGATTATAAGACCTACAGGATTGTTTGGCACCTAGAGAAACCAGCCTATCGTAGAATGCTACTTGAGGGAGCTTGTTTTCAAACAGTGAAAGACATCAAGATTTTAAGAGGAAAAGAGCACCGACCTCTTCTTTCTTCTCCTACAGCTGGCCTTCTGTCGACTCCGGACTCATCAGTGGTGTTTCATCCTTTTCAACGTGGTGCTCTTCCACGTTTTGCTCTTTGGGGCAGACCTCATGGAGGAGTATTTCCTGAGAACCTTGCCTGCCCCCTACGCCGACGTGAAGGTCCAGGAAGCCAGGGAGAGAGCGCGGAAGTTAGATCTGTCCTCCATGAAGGCCAACATCTCAAAGGCTTTCACCGTCAGCAGCTCTGAGGTCTGCTCGGGCAAAGAGGTCTTCCTGCTAGTCCTGGTCTTCAGCAATCCTGAGAACAGCACAAGACGAGACACGATCCGAGAAACATGGGCTAATCTTACACACGTCGGAGGTTACGGCACGCTGGTCTTGTTTGTCTTAGGGAAGCCATCTTCCGAGGTAACTCAACTGGAGGTCACCAAGGAGTCGGAGACACATCAGGACCTCATTCAAGGTGTTTTTCTTGACTCACTGGGGAACCAGACACTGAAGATTCTCGTGGCCATGGAATGGACCCTAACCTTCTGCCCCGCAGCCTGGTTCGTGCTCAAAACAGACGAGGAGATGTTCGTCAACCTCCCAACTTTGGTTGAGTATTTGCTGAATCTAAGGAGCCATCCCGAAGACCTCTACCTCGGGAGGCTGGTTCACCGAGAGATGCCCGACAGAGACGCCGGAAGCCACGGCTTCGTCTCGCCGAGCCAATACCCAGAAAAATATTATCCCGATTATTGCAGCGCGTCAGCCTTCGTCCTCTCCCAAGACGTCGTGCGGAAGGTATACGTCACGTCTAAAGAGGTTCCCCTTTCGTTGCCTCCTGGCGTTTTCGTGGGGATTTGCGCACAAAAGGCCGGGGTCACCCCCGTACACAGTTCACGATTTTCTGGGAGAAAACACATCCAGTATAACCGGTGCTGTTACAAGTTCATTTTTACTTCCTCCGTGGCGAGAGGAAGCCAGCTTCTCCAGGAATGGGAAGAGCTGAGGAACAGCAAAGACTGCTCATTATTACAAACTTACTATGGACTAGTATCTTGCAGAGTCATGACATACCTGGATGGATTTAAACACTTCAGCATCGATGCCCTTCAGAACGACGCGCTCCGTGTTTCTGATTAAGCGAGCGACGGTGAAGGGGCTCGATTCTTACCATGGATTTCACCCCGTTTGCATTAACACAAGTTGCCCTGGCACCCATTTGCAGTGTCGTACAGCGAAGAATTCTGCAACAGCTCTATAATAAACCCTGATATTCAAGATACCAAACCAGGGGATGAGGGCTATAAAGCGAAAACCTTGCATGTTAAGGAATTATTTTTTCAGATATTCTTATTCAACATCTGTTTTGTCTTCCGCCCCCATTTGTGTTACTGATTTTAACTGCATTCCCTTAGCGTCAGTCGTAATTGTTAAACACACTAAAGAGGATGGAGTATCAATTTGTGGATGAACAAAAATAAAGTGAGATCCAGGTTTGAGAAAGAGCAGTACATTTGGCCCCTGGGTAATGGTTCTGATCCACACAGGGCGACTTAATTTCTTAATTCCCAGCACGTTTTGTTATCATGCAATGGCGGCCATAGCGTTTCATGGGTGCAAGATGCATGTCCTCCCCAATTGACTACTGCAATGCGCTCTGCATGGGGCTGCCCTTGAATCTGCACTGGAGGCTACAGCCAGTTCAAAATGCGGCAGTCAAGACCGGTGGTCAGGGTGAGCAAATTTGATTGCACCCTTCCAGTTTTGGCCAGCCTCCACGGCTTGCCCGTTGTGTCCTGGATCACGTTCAAGATCTTGACACTCATACCCTTCACGGTTAGGGACATTACCTGTCGGAGCTATTTTCCCCCCACATCATCTGCCCGACCCACCAGAACCTCTCTGGCCAGGATCCTCCAGGTAGCCACCCTGAGAGGCCCGAAGGTCATCCAATAGAGGCAGGGCCTTCTCCGTGGTGGCACCGACCCTATTGAATTAGGTCCCAGAGCAATGATCTCTGGCCAGGATCCTCCAGGTAGCCACCCCGAGAGGCCCAAAGGTCATCCAATAGAGACAGGGCCTTCTCTGTGGTGGCACCGACCCTATTGAATTGGGTCCCAGAGCAATGACGCCTGGCCGTTTCCCTTGTTTAGCTGAAAACGTTCCTTTGCTTTTTCAATCCAACCCTGGTTGAGTGTTTGGCCCCCTTTACTGTGAAAAGCTGTTGTTGCTGCTATTTATCATTATGCTCCTGTTATTGCTATTTATATTTTAGTGTCCATTGTTTCTTTGTACCAGTTTTAATTGTAAATCCGCACAGAAGAGTACCTTGGCACTAATGGGGTGGTATAATAAAGTTATTAAGATAAGGGAATAATGGACTAAATGAAGCTTCAGTCTGATTCACCAGATGTTTTTCTGCTTTCACGATTACAGATCTAAGGTTTAGATGTACAAGGATATTTCCCCCCCCCCCATACGAGGTGTATGGATGCACAATGTTTCCGTGCTGAAGTGGCCCAAGAGGGAATAGCTAGGAAATATCCTTTCTTCACCCGAGAGTCACACTTGTGAGTTGTTTAGGGTCACCCACCCTGAGCACTGCAAATTATCAATGCTTGTGACTCGCCTTGTTCTAACAACCTTTATTCTGCCTCGGAAAGCCAGCGTTACACAACATGGTTAAGCCCTTATCCAGAGGGACAGGCAAGCACACTCTTGAAACCAGAGATGTATGAACAAAAGGGGGGGGGGTAGGTGTTAAGTGCATTTGTAAAAGCATGCCTCATAATGATGGCAAGGGGAGTCTTACAACATCATTTTCAAACCAGCATGGAATACAGATCAAGGCTTTCCAGAAATGGAAGGAAATATCCTGAAGTATTAAAAAACCCCAGGCATGCTGTTGAAGTGGTTTTCCGGCACATTGAGATACTGCCAAGGGAAGGGCTTACTCAAGACCCCCACGCGTGGCATGTGGGCCTCCAAAGGCACTCCTTAAAGAGCCAGGAACCCCCTCCCCCAGGAACTCTCTCCCCGATGTTGACAAAAGATCAACAAGCAAGGGTTCAACCTGGTCCTGAAAGATTTCAGGATCAACGTTTAGACAGTTCCAGCGACTCCCACCGACACGGAGAAATGGGTGTCCATTTTCATAGTTCTCCTTTTCTGACCTCGCCTGGGCTCAGTGAAGCCTGCAGGGAAGGTTGGGGGGCAGAAACGGGCCAGCCAAACCTCCACGTTGCCCGGGCTTAACCAAGAGAGTCACTACATGATGCAGAACAAGTTTCTTAGGAACTGGGTTGGTCATTTCCCTGGGAAAGACCACCACCCCCTTATGCAATTTGCTCCCAAATAAGCTGCACGTCAGAATTTTGGTCAGCTGTATGGATTAAACCACGCGTAAACTGGATCATGGAAGACAGGATACAGTAAGATCACAATATCTGCGGGATCAGTATCCACGGTCTCTTATACACTGCCTAAAAATATTAAATTTTAAAAATCCAGAAATATATGTTTCCACGGTGTACTACTGGAACTGGCCACTAGAGGGAACCAGATACTACAGCTTATATAGGTTTTCTATATCCACATTTTCCAGAATCCGAGTTTTGTATATATGTGGAACCAATCCCTGACGGATAACATGGTTCTAGTGTATCTACACGGGTGAATACACACATGTTCATGTGGGTGTCCTCCTTGCCAATTAATTACATTTTGAATTTAAACACCACGCCAATTCCTCCTCAGATTCTTGTTTTGCCTTTGAACTTCACACCAAACCCACTCCACAAAACCCCCCAAGATCATCTTTCCAACGCTGGAACGATCAGGGAGCCGTTTAAAGCTAGTCTTCTGAATGTTACTCTGCTCCCTCCACAGCCGTGGTGGAAACGGCCTTGACATAGTACGGCCCTTCGCGCAGGTATGCCCGGAGCCTTAAATAATGCTGGTTGCCGAAGATTTCGGCGATGGTCTTTGACTCGGCCAGCGCCTTCACCAGTTCGTACTTGGCTTCCTTCGAGGGTTTGTCCGGTTCCACGGATCGGTCCACGAGGTATTCCACGAAACCGGGGCTAGCCAGCATCAACCTTTGGGCCCAAGGCTGGTTAGCAATAGCCTAAAGTTTTCAAATGGAAAGAGAGAGAGAAAGGGTTTTTTTTACTGAAATGTTTATGCCACACGGACCCTTTTTTCTGTTCTCAAGCAAGGATACCAAAGGCCATGCTCCATGAGAACGCTGGAACATGTTGTCCGCCGAGTTAGAGAAAGCTGACCTTACCAAAGCCACAGAAACACTGACAAGTTTGTGGTTTGGTCCGTACACTTATACTATCTAGCACTAGCCGTTTGAGTCAACATCTCGTGGCTTCATCACCCTAGGAAATCCTGGGATGTCTAGCTTCATCATCATCTTAGAATCCTCTAAGTGGCTCACCAAACCACAGACTCCAGAGGTGTGGCAATCAATACAGCATCCAACCAACACCCCTGATTACCACAAATGCATCTATATACTCAATGTAGCTTCCGCTAATTTTTTTTTAAGAAGCGGGTGCATGATGAGTTCATCTCCAGCTTGGCAAATATAGAAATCACACAATGTCCACTTTTATTTTGGCTGCTGGTCAAGGATCCTGTGTGTTTCAACTAAGGGCAGAGCCTAAAGTCTTTTAATAACCACTCGATTTCGGATTTTCAAAAAAACGGGGAAGGAGAGGGAATCCGCCACTGTGCGTTCCCTTCGCTGCAGGTGTCTTAAATGTAACTTAGTACCTGTACAAGCAGAATAAGCACCCCTTGGAGAGTGATTGATCCCTAACCCTGGCTTAATTGGTTCATATCTGCCTCTCTTCCTCCATTCCCTGCTCCTTGGTTACCTTCTGGTATCCTTTTGCTCAATATGTATGTACGTTTCAAAAGCTTGTCTGAGATTCTATCCATATTTGGTTAGTTCTAAGAACGGCAGACTCTGGAGGCTGATTTCTGGAATTAAGCGGACAAGGTCTCGGTGGAAAACAGGCACTCACGGTAAAGACCCTCAAGGCACCGCAGTGAAGGTCAGGGAACGGCTGGGCGCTGATGCTGCGGAAAAGCTCCAAGGGCTGGCTAGAGAGGGAGAAGAACCAGGATTCTGTCATTCCCAGAAAGTCTTCCGTCTGTTGTTCTGGCTGAACGGAAAAAGGTAAGACACTGGGATTGGCAAAGGGATTCTTGAAAGGTCAGAGGAAATTTATTTCCGAGGGTCAACTTTTCACCCCTTTGCACCTTCTAAAAGCAAACGGAGAACCAGCGGCTGGACATTATAATTTCCACCCCAGTTCTTCAAGGCAGGAAAACGTTAACTTTGTGCAGATTCATTTGATGGAAGTTTCAGATTTACTCAACACGCTTGGTTCATACCTTTAGTAAACCCCAAAGGTAAGCGTGAAAAGCTACCCAAAATAACCACCAGCTGCCAGGCCTTTTGACGGTGGTGGTCCAGCCCTGCCCAAGACCAGCCGCTATTACTTTTTTTTGAAGCGGCAGAATGAGGCCTTTAAGGGTCCTCTCCAGAAGAAACCCAGGTTTTCAAGGTTTACCATTGCTTACCGGCAGGTACAGCAGAGAAGAAATGGCATCCAAACAGCGGATCCTCAGTTCCGTTGGGGCGTTTTTTGCCTGGTGTCCAATTCTGTTCAGCACATGGTGAAATCTGCTTCCTGGAAAGAGCAAGAAGATGGATGGAATATCCCATCCAAACCATGTTACTGTCTTCTACAACTTTATAGACTCTTCTTGCAAACAAACCACGCATCGCCTGCTCAACCCTCCTGCCACCGATCATGCTCAGAGGTGGAATCTATAAACGCTGGGGGTCCGTGGACCTACAATCTGGTATTTAAAGCAGAAAGAAGTTTGATTGGTAGCAGGGCCAGAAACTCCTGACTCGTTGCAGTGCAAGGCAGGGGTGCCTCTGAGCCGCTGGGGGGTCCAAAGCCTCTTCTGGCATCGGCTCAAAAGCAGCAGCAGAGGGAGGATTCCCCACACATAATTTCCAATTAGGCAGCTTCCCCCACCAAAATGAACAGCCAGGGAGAGCAGAGATTCCCCATGCCAACAGCAGGGTGATGGAGGCATGTAATCCACCCTATCTGCCTAGTGCAAGTGGCTCAGATGGGTGTGTGTGTGTGTTTTGATCTGGAGCATGGCCAAGCAAGCAAGCCCGCCCTTCTCACGCGGATTTGCTGATCCATCTGGAGATGCTAACCCTAAACCGTCCAGAGAGGGACAGACTTCACAGCATAAAGCCACATAAAGTCTCACCCATCTACAACTTCTAGGGAAGATTTTCAGAGGGGTGGGGAGGCCCCTCCTGAGGCTGGGGGTGAAAAACTCTGTTCTAAAGGAAAGCTCCGCTTTGTAAATGTAGGATTGATACCACCCTTCCTCCTCTCCAATAACATAATATCTTTAATAACACCCTTAATAAATGATGTGAATGATTCTTAATTACAAATACCAAGGGGTCCATGTTTACTTAAAATGTATTTGCAAGATTTAAACATCAAATTGATGCTTTCGTAAGTGTCCAAATAAATCATGATGGTGATTTTGCTGTGACAGAGGAGCATGGGTAATGTCTCATTAGATCCATTTGAGACTATTTGCATAGTCATAAGGTGTGTACAGACCTTTCTTCTGCAGCACCAGCTTTCCCTCCACGTTTGAGCCCAAGATGCTCAAGGTGTCCACCCCCACGCCAAACAGGGTCTGATCCTGGCCTTCCGCCATGCCAAAGACTTTCTCCAGAAAGGCGGGATACCGCTCGCAGATCTGCTGGGGGCTGTCAACGACCACCAGGTTGCCAAAGAACTTCACAAAGCCTGCCAAGACCAGGAAAGATGCAGGATGAGGGGGAAGAAGAAAAACAGGAACTGAGTCACCCCATCTGGATGGGAGAACCACCTGGGAGATGACTGGCTATCCCTAATTAGTTGCATGACAGACAAGAGAGGAAAGATATGTACGCGTATTAAACAGATACACGCAGACCCTAAACCCCCCACTAAGGAGGAACTCTTGACTCACCGGGCAGGTAGAAGCCAGAGAAGGGATCTGAGTCGGCCCCGATGATGATATTGGAAATCTTATCGATAATTCCTTGCTGGGCCAGATATTGGCGCCCGTGGTGGGTTTGGGCGAGTGACGTCACCATCTCTATACACGTAGCTCTAGGACGCACAGAGACGATTAATTAATTTACGCTTTACGTGTGTACTCCGATACTGCTCTCTGTAGATCTCACTTGAAGGTGAACCGTGTTTTTATTCCTTTATAAATATAGTGGTACCCTGCTTGATGATTGCCTCGTTAGACGAGGAAATCACTTTACAATGAAGTTTTTGCGACCGCAAAACGATGTTTCAAAGGGCGATTTTCATTTGATGATGATGGTTCCCTGCTTCAGGAACCGATTCTTCGCTAAACAATGATTTTAAAACAGCTGATCGGCAGCTCTCAAAATGGCCACCCGCTGTTCAGAATGTCTTCCCACTGTTTTCAGGATCTTCGCTGGACGCTGAGGCATTTCGCCCATTGGAACGCACTGAACCGGTTTTCAATGCATTTCAATGGGCTTTTTCATTTTGCTTGACGAGGATTTCACTTAACAGTGATTT